AAGCAAAAAAAGGGGGGGGGGGGAGCAAACAAAACTTGTACGTGAACAAAAACAATATTTGAACGACAGATATTGCGTTTACACATCACAAATTGAAACATTAAAAGAGAAATGAAAGCAATCAATGCAGTGCAGTTATAGGTCATAGAAAGGGGAATTTCTCTGACATTGTTGATCTTTACCACTTATTGATCGTTTTAGAGATGACTATTGAACTGCCCAAGTGAGATGAAGAGAGAAAAAGAGAGTATGACTAAGCAATGTGCTCTCATTTACAAAAAAAGTATTGTGGTGGTACCATGGTACAGTAACTATATTCGAGAAACGGCAAAAGCATGATGTTTGTATTTATGTGTGCTAAACAATATGAATATGGTAATGATTTAGTGCTTGTCCAAAGCATTTTATATATATACAATGGTACTACAAGCTTGAAATGTTCACAAAGTACTTTTACTAAATATGTTCAAAAACCTACAAGAAAAGAATTATATATATATATATATATAATTTAACAGCAATTATTGAGTGAAAATGTGTATATTATATATATATATATATATGTGTGTGTATACTGTATGTATGTGTATATATGTATATAATATACACTTTTTTTTCGATATTTTAACTAAAACAAAGATTATTATACATTTCTTGTGTTTTAAGTGTGTGTATATTAATAACTATATGTATATGCAAATATTTTTCTTGTTTAAAGCATAAACCTCGCTTCTTTTTATACTTACAACAAGACAAAAAACCCTAAAAAGTACTTTTATAATTGTTCAAAAACATCATGGTATTACCATTGTCCAAAAAGCCAATGTTTTATCATTGTATTATGTCAGAAAAACATACTATTAGCCTACCATTGCACATGGCATTATCATGGGACCATGTCCAAAAAAAAAAAATACATGGGACTTTTCCCATTGGTGATAGGCTACAAAAACTTTCCCCTTCTTTAGAATCTAGAGACAAAAGACTCACGCTTTCAGCATCGGGTGTTGATTTGTTAATCAGGCCTCCCCACTTTGCTCGGGGTCCGAGCTGGCGCCAGCAGAAAGCAGTGATCCGCCCTATAGTCCCTCCCCAATCCTCCACATGGGACAGGAATAAACCTGCATATCCCACATTCACCCTGGGAAGAGAGTGTGAGAAAGTGTTTTTGTCCTTCCCTTGCGGTGAAACTAAACTGTGGAGGGAGTGTTCGCTCCTTTTATTTTTTTCAGATCCACAGTAATTTGAAGGAAATCTCTCTCTCTCTCTCAGTACCTGCGCGGAGGGATAATATCAGCGGCGCGTGAGAATTCGTTCGGAAGAGTGCGCTACTAGGCTCAGAGCCCCACGCGACAGTGACGTCAGCGCGCTACAAACGGAGAACCGGTCAGAGTTTCCCACGCGCAGACGCTCTTCAGAGACGTCGGGATTTATTTATTAATTAACACGGATATTTAGTCTAACTCTTTTGCACTTACTGGAGATTTACAGAAGACTTCTGGGATCTATGAGAGCTTCAGGAAGGATTTTAAAGAAGTTGTAACGCCGAGGCGGAGTTATGAACCGTTTCTTGGTGAAATTAACGCTACTGGCGGCAGCTTCGTTCGCGACGGCGGCACAAGGTAACAAACATCCACTCTAATAACATTTCACAATTATATATATAGTCGTATGATTCTAAATTGATTCGTTTTCACACTTCATGAGTTTGGTAGTGATATTTCTGCGCAACTTGTGATTTGAGCGTCACTTGTTGCACAGAATAGCCTGGTATTGGGATAAACATAATATTATTTTCTCCACAACTTTCTCTTTCTTCAAGTTTAATTAATTTGTTTAAGTCAAGTGTTTTACTGGCATGAGTTTTGCATGATACAATTGTGCCAAAGTATCTACACAATGAGAAATACATCAGATGTCAGTTATGAAAATATGATGTTAAATCAATATTGAATAGAATAGCAGGCATTTTGGAAGGATATCAGTATATCAAATCTCGGTTTTATGGTCTTTATGATATTAATTGGTGATCGATATTGTTATAAATTCAGTGTAATTAAGTGCAAGTTTATACAGGGTGAACTGGACCACTTTTGCCAAAGTTTTTCCTATTAATCTGAATTGTTATTTATCTCTTTCACTAACTTATGTAACTCCGTTCTTGTCATCATACGTGTAACCGTAAAGATCACAGATTAATGTCTTCACGTTAAAGTTGAGTAACATCAGAAGTATCGCTGTAACTTTATGACAGTGCGAGTGCTTGATTTCTGAAGTTATTGCGGTTGTTTTTTAGTGCGTTGTCTTGTCCCTGATGTTGATTGAGTTGCATTGTGTGTGGAGTCTGGAGGAAAGCGATCTGTGCGTGAATGAAGGGAGGAGGAGGAAGGGGCTGTGCTGTTGTTCTCGTGCGCTGGTAAACAATGGCTCGAGACAGTGTTTTATGGGCTCGTGCTGGACTCTGATTTCTTTTGTCTGCGCAGCGTGGGCTCCGCAGCTGTCGCGCGCGCTCCCCCTCCACACACACACACACTCATCTCTCTCTCTCTCACACACACACACACTCACACACACACACACACCCACACTCTCTCACACACACACACTCTCACACACACACTCACACGCACCCGTGGAGGAACCGAGAGCCTGACAGACAGGGGAAATGACACAGCTAGACAGAAGAGACAGGAAACAAAACAAACTATTAAAAAGTGAAATTCTGCACAATTTAAACAAGTAAGCGAAATAACCTAACAAGAAGTACTGTGGTGGTACCAGGGTACAGTAATGGTATCTGTTGGTAACACCATGGTACTTTGAAATATATAAAGCACTGGTATACATAACATATATTCATATACCATATCCATTAAAAAACATGGTACCAACAGTTACTGAGAAATTTCAGGCAATTTATGGGTTAAACTCATCGAAATTAATAAAATTTCAATTAGTACAATTCAATTTTATAATATAACAATACAGTTTATTAATTTTATAATATATTTTAGGTTAAAATTTCTGAGAAAGTAATTGAAATTACTATTATACAAATATATATATATATATATATATGTGTGTGTATATATATATATATATATATATATATATCATTTTGTTTTTTATATTTTATTTAATTTTAATTAAATTTTATATATTACATTTTGTTAAATTTTGTAATATAAATAATAAATCCATTGCATTATAAAAATATATGAAATAATAAAATAAACGCTCATGGAGAAAGCATAGAAAAATTTTTAATTTTAAAATATTTTATTCTCAATCTCTAAAAAATGACTGGAAAAGTCATGTAAATTAATTCAGTCAAGAATTTACAACCTAGTCTGTGCATTGACATTTTAAAGAAACAAAAGAGAATTAGTACTGGTGGTTTAATCTGTAATAAGGACTAGTCTGAGAGTTTTGACTAAGAGCCTTGTCTCTAGATGGTCGTTACCAATTAAAGATGGCCTGCAGGCAGCTGGTTTCATTCAACAAGTGTACAACTGCAGTCTAGATCGACTGGCCAAATGCACTGTTAATCCTTAAAGTGTGATGATGCATGCTCCTGCGAAATAAATATACTTCCTTCCATAAATGGACACATTTGGCTTATTAAAACACATTGAATGCCCACCCAGACTGCAGATGTGCACATCCTAGCACTGTCAGCTAAACTTAAACTAGTGTGAAGCTGATATATTAATAATGAACCGGGAAGACTATATTCTGAGTTTAAACCCTTGTTAAAGGCTGGCTGCCACATGGAGAGGGAATTGTTGAGGATGTGGAGCTATTTCCAGGCTCAGTGTTGGATAGCTGGATTTTTCAGGATCTCTTTCGATGAATAGTCAAGAACCCCCCCCCCTACTCCTCCATCAAAGTCAGTTATTCAGAGCCCAACAAAAGGCCAGTGGCTCTCCATCGGGGGCCACAAAACAAAGGGCTCGGGTCCCTTTATTGAAGTCTATAGGTGGTGAGGTTCTTTTGTGAGAAGTTAGCATGTGTGTTTGCATTGACAGGTGTGCTATGAGATGCACAGGTGGGTGGGTGCATGTTCGACCTGGTTTTCTGCAGGTGATTTGTGTGGTTTAGTGTGTGATTGTTGGGATGCACTAACAGATGTTTGTAATTTGTGTTTAGGGCAAAGATGCTCAGAATACTGTCAGAATGGAGGAATATGTGAGCTCAAGCCGAGCGGAGAAGCATCATGCAGGTACGTTACAAAAAGAAAAATATAAAGGTTTGGTAATAACCAAAAATGGTTTTAGTCTGATGTTGTACACACTCTTAAAAATAAAGGTTCTTTAGTGGCATTGTTCGATGGTAAAAAGTTCTTCATGGAGCCATGGAACCTTTCCATTGTACAAAAGCTTCTTTAGAGCATTAAAATGTTCTTCACATTAAGAAAAAGTGATTATTTTAAGAACTGTTCACTGAAAAGTTCTTTGATGAACCAAAAATAGTTCTACACTCTTGAAAACAGAGGTTCTTTATTGGTATTGATGGTTCCATGAAGAACTTTTATCACCCATGGACCTTTTCCACTGTACAAAAGCTTCTTTAGAGCATTTAAATGTTTTTTGCACTAAGAAAAGATTGTTCTTTTAAGAACTGTTTACTGAAAAGTTCTTTGGGGAACCAAAGAAAATAGTTTAATGCCATTGCTGTAAAACCTCCCATTTGGAACCTTTATTTCTAAGAGTGTAGGAGAACCATTTCATGTTCAAAAAAATAACACTTCCTCTCAAGTTCTGTGTTCTAGACCTAGAATCCAAAACACGAATCTAAAAACCTAACGAATCAAGAACTTTCTGAATCTCCAAACAACTATATAGCAGCTCAGTGGTTCTTTACTGACCACTAAAGAACATTTATTTTGAAAAGTGTTGCACACAATCTAGTAAAACAGCAGTAAACACCATGCAAACTCAGTGTAGTGAAGAAAAGTGTATGTATACCTGTGTATTTGTTTGTAAGCTGTAATCAACCACTTTGAGATTCCATCTTTAAGCCCAAACCCCATCTTAGCAACCATACAAAGCTCTAAGCATCTTGCGTGTGTGTGTGTGTGTGTGCGCATGTGCGAACATGCACGCGCTCATAGTCATTCTGTTTCAAACTTAGATAAAAGACCCCCCAACCAACCCCCCCAGTAGTCCGTTGGTGCCCTGCTGCAGTGGGATGCTGCTTCTGTCAATGTCTATTCATGCCATTCAGCCCAACAGCTGGCCCTCACCTCCTATTGTCTCACATACACGCACTTAGCATGGAATAAAACTTGCATTTATTCTCATAGGATGCATATAGCGAGATTCACTATGATTTGGCAATCAAAATCAGAACTTTTTTTTTTATTATTGTTTGTTTCTCGATCTTTGTCGCTTTTGTTGTGTGTTTTCTTACACCCCGGAGGCTGTTTGTGTGTGTGTGAATGGTGTCTTTTTTGGAGGGCAGATGGCGGAGGGGGTAATAAGATTGCAGGAACTCATGAGAAAGGCCTCTGTGTGTGTGTGTGTGTGTGTGTGTGTGTGACGCTTTAAAGGGGGGAAATTTAAAAGCAAACAAGTGTGTGAGACTGTTAGCCACGCTTCTTGTTCTGCATTTAATCATGCATTTTCCAATCTAGAAGATGCCTTGTATTATACTTACATTGTTTAAAATAAAAGCACAACCATTTTTTCCTCTTTTGATGAAAATGTGAGTGTATGCCTGTGAAAAAGTTGCTGTTATTATTCTAGAGTGTTCTGATTGGTTGCTAGGGTGTTCTGGGTGATTTGTATGTTTTTTGACGGCATTATTTCTGTTTTTTGACACTATTTCTCTGTTTTTTGCTAGGGTGTTCTGTTTTTGGATGGTTGCTAGGTCATTCTATGTGGTTGCTTACTGATCTGTTATTCTAGTCTTTTGTTCAGTGCAAATCAATGGAATTTGTTCACTTGTTTTATTGCCTACAATGAGCCGCTCCATTTGCATACATTCACATATGTAGCAATGTTTAATACCCTAGTGTTCTGGGGTTTGTTCAGATCTGTAATGCTAAGTATGTGCAATAATGATTGCATTATCAAATGGCACTAATTAATGAATGAATCAGTCTAAAAAAGATGAGAGAGATCGTATCTCTCATTGTTGAGTAGTTCGCAGACACATTCACTGGGGGACAAACCCTGAACATCCTGTTGTGATGACCCCGATGATAAACAGGAAGAGCAGAGATATTTTTGATCCTTTTTTCTCCCAAAAATATCTCATGTGAACTTTGACGCCTTTCCTGTGTGGTCCGATTCTCAACCTTGGAAATAGTTTGTAAATGGCTGGTTTTTGTGTGCGCGAGCATGTGGGGATTTCTCTGACTTGTTGCGTCTGAATTGAGGTCAGCGCTGCTCGACATTGGTCAACTTCACATGAACTTCTGACATTTCATGAGAGGATGTCCTACTTTATATGGAGTTAAAGGTGCCCGTGATGATCATTCATGACAGACGAGGTTTACTTGTTTTTCAAGCAGATAATGTGCAGGGGTGAAACTCTGGCACTGACTGTCTCAGATTGTAGTCATACTAGATTACATACTAATTCTAGACTCGGAAACTTGACCTTTTTGGGTGATGCCATATTAAAACCACTTATTTCAAGTATTTTTACGTGTGGTCAGAGTTATGGGGGTGTCATGTACAAGCTAAGCCATGTCAGTGTTGGTTGTGTTTATAGCAGTTTTAGTTAACAATAACAACATTGCTGCACAGATCACTTTATTTAATTAAAATAAATCAATAATTTGTTCATTTAAAAGATATTTAATTTTATTATATGAAATTAAATAATAAAAAAATAAGAACAATCACAAAAGCACAAAAATACTAAAACCTAAATTAAAATCAAAGCTGAAAAAAAAACATAAATAAATAAATAAAAGCTAATTAAAAATATTAATGAATACTGTATAAATACTAAAATAACACTGATGTGCAGTCTTGTAAAACATCCATTTGTCATGTTTTTAATGGTAGTAATGCTTGTAATGGTAGTTTGTGCTTATTGGGGAAAAACGTTTGTTTATTGAATTCAATCCTGTATTAATCAACAACTTCTAAAGGCAAGAATTCTGAAGTCATTTAGTGCACTTTGTCTTTCTAGATGTCAGATGTTCCTGATTGGAGAAAGTCAACAGCTCCAACCAGTTGATTTTCTACATTTTTAGGCTCAATTTTTCTTGAGCTTTGTGTTTTAGTGATGTATGTGAATTAGGGTTGGGTATCATTTTTTATTTATTATTTTTTTAAGGGAGGTTTAGCTTTAGGCATTTTAATTTAAGCATGTTTAGCTTCGTTAACAGAAGGCTACCTGCTGCAGTCAGAGCAAGTGTAATTACTGCATTCACACGCTCCTCGGATGCTCTCATTTCCCGAGTTGTGCTTTTAAGTCGGAATGTGAAAACAACATGGACACTCTCGTTACTACAAAGATGTGTTGGATTTGTATTATTAGAGCTTTCCGACTTGAGTTCACGTGCATTTTCTCAGTCGGGAAATTATTTTTCACGTGCTGTGCCAGTGATGATGCTTCTTACGTCCGTTTCGGAGAACCAGAGGACAAATATTTCAATCGATCGCTCAGGCATGGCACCGAAATCTGCGTTCGGATTCGGTTCTAGTACATACCGGTTACATAGGTACCGGGTTTCGGTACCCAACCCTAATGTGAATGCAATTCCAAAATGTGTTATAATGCAATTTATAATAGTTAGTTTTAGATTTACAAACATGATTAAGTGTTCTATAACTCCTGATCATTCCAAAGGCACCTGACATCACTTCTGGAACTTCTGGAATGTTGGAGGGTGGGGAGTTAATTGGAAGTGTGGAATCAGAATTCCAGAGTTGTCATTTGAATCCTGGAATGTTTTATGATCTTCTATCACTGGTTGTGATTGGATTGGTGACAGCTTTTGGATGGCTGTCATAATTTTGAGACTAATCTAATACATTTGTGTGTGTATTTTGAATGCATCGTCATACTAGAAGCATTTGCTGTATTTTCGGGTGATGATGTGCATTACGAGAGCTATTTGTAGAATGAATCACAATGTTTGTGAGCAGGAGACAGAAAGACAGGGTCTGTGTGAAACTGTGTGAAACGGCAGCGTCTGGTTGCATGACGTTTATTGCGTAACTTCCACATTTGAGAATTTCTCGTAAACTTCCATGTCATGCATTTAGTTTAAAGTGTGGTTTTGCATGCACAGTATAACTATAGTTAGCGACGTGCTGTCCTGCTGTCCTCGTCCCAGAACTGAAAATATGCATGTGAAGCTAAACCTATAACTAGAGTTCAAAATCACAATGTAAGCATTTCCGTTAATTGAAATAAAGTGAAATGTTAGATAAATGTACAACATAAAATGACTAAAACCTAATATAAACTAATATATAAAAATAAAAGCTAATTAAAAATATTGGTGAATGCAATATAAATAATATTTTTATTTAAACTTTATTTAAAACTTAAACTTTAAAAAATATTTAAATGTAAATTAAAGTTTTACATTTAAAAACTTAAAACTTAACTTAATGAGAAATATTGCCTTGGTAACAACTGAAATAAAATAAGTTGAAGTTGAAGTTATAACATTTTATATTATCATTTAATTTTATATTAAATTTTATATTATAAATTATAATAAAAAATTACTCAAATTAAAACTGAAATAGAAATAAAAAATTTAAATGACAAAAGCACATTTTTTGATCTAAGTGAAGAGAGCGACTCAGATCTAAGACAAGATCAAGTCATTGATGAGATCAAGTTATTTATTCTTTAAAATGGTAGAAAAGTGTTTTGTTATAATGCCAGAAACAATCTAAACAAATATGAGGAACAAATACATAGCCTAATATTTAATCAGTTCCTTACTTGTATCATCAGAACATCACCTGATTCAAACTGGTCCCAAAGTCTCATGTTTGTAAAGGTGTGAAGCATAAGAATCTGGCTCTGAGGGCCAGACGCAGAAAATGAAAGTGTATTGTTTTGATTCACACCGAAGGCAGGAAGTCTGTGGCGTGAACACACACACACACAGAAGGCAGCAGCAGATGGTAGACCGGCCCACTGGAATGGGGGGTCTGTAGCCTGCAGTCACAAATGTGCTCAGGGGTCACAGGTCACTGCAGCATCTGTTCAGAGTCGAATCTCACACGCACTCCTGCTCTCGGACCTGTTGCCACGACGGGCTGCAGATGACTTCTGCTTCTGTCTCTGGGGACAAAGAGAGGGAGACCGCGTTAATGCCTCAAGTAAACTCACACACACACATCTGAGTATGCAAGTGTTTACCATGGGATGTCTTTATTATTAAACTACTGCATGTCAGTTAGCAAATCAAATATATTGTGATAAGGTTTACCTG